AAAAAAAAAAAAAAATTATAAAAAAACGAGCATAAAAAAACTTGGTTTATGGGTGTTATACTTAGTTTTAACGTATCAGGGAGAGCTTAAAAAAAAAATAAAATAAAATATATACTACCATAGCTTAGAAATAAAAGCAAAATATTAATAAAAAAGCAATAAATGGCAGCCAAAAATTTACATATGTTGACTTGATTGCATTTGTTATTGTGTGGGTCTTGGTTTTTTTTTTTTCATTTCACTCTTTTAAGGTATTTTACACTAGAGTATTGTGTGATGCGCCCTCTTCGGGCAGAGCTAAAGAACAACTTTGCTATGCTAGAAGAATAATAGCAATTGAAAGCTAAATATGTACATACATACATATATAAATGAATATATAAATGCAGTTCAATACAGCTTTAAGAAGCCAAGAAGCTTTAAGTCAGATTTTGCCTCTAGATATTGCGAATTATTAATTTTTAGCGTATGAAATCGGCTTTAATATAGAAGAGACTTAAGAGCTTGAATTAAAATTGAAAGTTTTTACAACAAAAGTCTTGCTTCATAGTAAGCTGAAATTTTTCAGAGCATAAATTTAGCATTCCTTCTAAGAATTGCTTCAGAATTATTGAGCAAATTTAGTACAGCTTTCAATAAACTGCAAGCTATGAAGAACGCTTTAGAGGCTTTGCATAAAAAGACCAAACTTTTTTTTTTTATAATATCAGTCGATATGTATGAAATTGTAGATAGAAGCATAGATAAAGAGCTTTATGTTTTATCTCGTTCTTAAAAAATGTACTTGAAATGTATTCGAAACTACTCAATTTCATTAGTTTCAAAATAATCCCTGATTTAGCTCGAGTTAACAAAATTATATCTTAATGTAGTTTTAGGAAGTTTCGGCGATTTTGAGTTGGCGCAAATGCTTCTAAGTAAATACGGGTTGAAAGCCCTTTTCGAGGAGGAGGAGAGTTTTCAACCTAGCTCAGTTGAGAGCTACGTCTTTTTAAGCCTAAATACAGATTTAAGCGGCCTTTAAGTTTAGTGATATCTTATAGTTTTGGCATAGAACGGGATCTAATATGATAGATCGATAGATGGCCTATTCAGCATAGAAGAAGTTTACTGTTAATATACTAGAGCTTTAATGAGCTTTTAAGAACATAGGGCCTACTACATGGCACAGGGAAACCACTTGGCATCAGTTGAGAGCTATAGATCAGCTGTTTATCATATATTTAAGAGATCTTGCGTAATGCCAGATGGGTCTAGGGCTCGACCCAGACCCAGAGCACATCGAGCTGAGTGAACTGTAATGGGGCCATAGAAAGTGATGGATCTGAGGCAAATGCTGTCGAGGTCAGGCAATGACATGACCTACCTTTGATAATCGCACCGGTTTGCTTGCGCCTGATGCGATTTGGTTATTTGGCTTAAATGTTTGTGTGTGTGTGTTTTTTTTTTAATGCTGGTCAACGGGTTTTTTTTCGTCTCATTTGAATATTTTAGCCATTTAGTGCTCCATTTGCACCGCTCACAGTTCGGCTCGCCGCTGCCCTACCATTAAATCCGATTCGGGGGCCCGCGCCATCGATGACGAAAGCAAACAGCGGAATCTTCGCTGCCCGCCTCAGGCGAAAGCCGCAGCAACGGCTCATTGGGCAAGGCACCGGATAACGACAAATTCGACGCCAATGACGCTGACGCCAACGACACGACGATGTAGTAGCTGAAGAAGAAGAAGAGGAAGAAGAAGAAGACGTATCAGCATAATGATTGCGATCGGCGTATATAAGCGCGCGACTGCTGGAAGATGATCATCAGTTGCCTGCCTCTTCGGTTGCATTCTTCAGCTACGTGAAGTTCCACAGATTTCGTCCCAAGCAAGAAACTTCCAGCAATGAAGGTAAGCCGGCTTAGCTCCAGGCAGGATTGGGCGGTCATCCCTAATGCTCGCTCCTCTTTCGCAGATCTTTGTGTGTTTGTTTGCCGCACTTGTTGCCACCTGCTCCGCCGGCATCATTGGCGGTGGCGGCGGCGGCGGCGGTGGCGGTTACAGTTATGGCATCGGTAGCAGCGGCGGTGGCCATGGACACGCCGAGGTTCGCACGGTGAAGGTCATCCATGAAGGCAGCCATGGCGGTCATGGTGGCTTTGGGCACGGCGGACACGGCGGACACCATCAGGAGGTGAAGACCATCAAGGTGATCCACCAGGAAGCACCAGCTGTGCATCACGGCTTCTCCCATGGCGGCGGCTTCGGTGGTCACCAGGAGGTTAAGACTGTGAAGGTCATTCACCAGGATGGCGGCCTGGCTCTGGGCGGCGGCGGTTACGCTGGTGGCTTCTCCCATGGTCACCAGGAAGTTAAGACTGTTAAGGTTATCCACGAGGAGGCACCAGCACTTCACCACGGATTCTCCCACGGCGGCGGCTTCGGGGGTCACCAGGAAGTCAAGACTGTAAAGGTCATTCACCAGGATGGCGGCCTGGCTTTGGGCGGCGGCGGCTACGCTGG